CACATACACACAGACAGACACACACACACAGACACACACACATAGACAGACACACACACACACACACATAGACAGACAGACACACACACATAGACAGACAGACACATACACATAGGCAGACACACACACACACACAAACACACACACACACACACACACAACACACGCACCTACCTCCATCCAAATTGTTTCCTGCTTCGCCTAGCTAGGTATCCAGTGCGGCCTGACAGGTAATGAGAAGCCATCCCGCTGTCCCTGAGCATTGGCTGAGCTCCGTGAGAACACAGGCTGTAGAATGGAGGCCTGATGATGGGTGGAGCCCAGAAGATAGGTCTGGGAGGAAGGAATCGACTTCTTAGGTAGGAGCAGCAAGCTCTAGGCACAGGGGTTGTCTCTATGCTCTTTCCAGGAGGCAAGTGGCTCCGTCCTACCTAGTTTCTCACCCCATGTTTATTTTAGCTGGGAAAATTCAACAAAGGTTCCCAGGCCTCACTCATCTCTTCTTAAACCAACAGGTAGCCATCCTGGTGGGGCCCACCAGCTGCACCCCCTCCTTGACCCTGAAAAATCTCACGGAACCACCGCCAACCCCTTCTCATAGCAACACCCATTTCACCAAGCACACCCCCACTCCCAGCCATCCCCTTCCTGGGAGAGCAGCTCCCATAGAGCCACATCAGGAGGAAGGGATCTTTTCTTAAATCTTTCCTCCATGGCTCCTGCCCATTCCCTAATGATGAGGCTGCTCCTCCCATTCTCAGATGCCAGAATCTCCTTCTCAGTTCTAAGCCATCACACCCAATGATTTGAAGGGGACTAGAGGTCTGCAGAGCCAAAGATCCCTTCCTGCTCTTACGTTCCGAGGACCTCCTAACATCCCACCATTGTGAAAGCTACCTAAGCCCTCTGAGCTTCATCTTTCCCTCTCGCTAAAATCAATTTCCTGGGCCTTTGAGAATGGTTCAGTGGGCAAAGGGACTTTCTACATTAGTTCCATCCCGTATTAGTCAGCGCTCTGTTGCTGTGAAGAGACACCGTGATTACAGACATTCTTATAAAGGAAAGCATTTAATCGGGGCTGGCTTAGAGTTCAGAGGTTCAGTCCATTGTCATCACGGCAGGGAGCATGGTGGCGTACAGACATGGTGCTGGAGAAGCAGCTGAGAGTTCTACATCCATATCCACAGGCAGCAAGAAGACAGAAAGCCACTGAGCCTGGCTTGGGTCCTTGAAACCTCAAAGCTTCCTCCAAAAAGACCACACCTCCTAATCCTTCTAAATAGTGACACTCCCCAGAGACCAAGTTTCCAAATCTATGAACCTATGGGGATCATTCTCATTCAGACCACCACATTCCCTGGACCCACAGCGCCGAAGGAGAAACCAACCCCCACAAGTTGTCCTTTGTCCTCCAAGTGTGCACTGTGGCTTGCACTCCCTCACACACACAGACACACACACACACACACACAAACATACACAGACACACACACAGACACACACAAACATACACACACACAGACACACACACACAGACACACACACAGACACACACACAGACACACACACAGACACACACACAAACACAGACACACACAGACACACAGACACAGACAGACACACAGACACACACACAGACACAGACAGACACACAGACACACACACAGGCACACACACACAGACACACACACAAACACACACACACAGACACAGACACACACACAGACACACACACACAAACACACAGACACACACACAGACACACACACAGACACACAGACACACACAGACACACACACAGACACACACAGACACACACACAGACACAGACACACACACACACACAGACACACACAGACACAGACACACACACAGACACACACACACAGACACACACACACAGACACACACACACACACCTGGTACAGCTCATCCTTACAAACTCACAGGGTTTAGCGGGCTATGAATACCACTACTGAATCCATGTGATTCAGCCCTGAAACTACCTGAACAGATCTGGCGACGTCTAGGCACAGCAGCTGGGTTTGTCAGTTACCTTCTAACCTTGGCTGGAGCTGTACCAGCACTAGGCTAAGCAGAACCTTAGGAAACGTCATCCTCAGGAACAGAAATCTCAGGCAAGACAAGACTAATTCACAAAGCAATCAGTAAAAATCACAAGGTAACTTAAAAGTACTGGATTGCTGGGTGCAGGCTATCTGTGTGTTAGTAGGAAGACAGGTTTGCGGGGCTCTGGGAAAGAAATCTATTATTTCACAGAGTCCCCAAAGCAAATCTGCACGGCAATACTCTGATCAGCAAGCAGGAGAGGAAACTGAGGCCCACACAGATAAAATGCTTGCTTCATGCCCCTGCTACCAGCAGACACATGACTTAGAAAGATTCCAACCTCCTCTTCATTTGAAACCGCCTCCTGCCTTTTCCTGTTAGTAGTACACGTGTACATGAGCTGTGATGTGTGTGTGTGTGATATGTGTGTGTGATGTGTGTGTGTTGAGATGTGTGTGTGTGTATGTGGTGTGATGTGTGTGATGTGATGTGTGGTGTGTGTGTGTGTGTGATGTGTCATTGTGGCACATCACAGATCATATGACTCTTCTCTTGAGTTTGTAGATGGTCTTTCCCTCAAACATCATCGTCTTCCCTTTGTGTACATGTCTGAGTCCTTTCCACTTCTTACAAAGACACCACCCACATTGGATTAGGTCCCCCACAAAGACTTCATTTTAAGTGAATTACCCTTCATTCTCAAGAGACTAGCCTGTGTCTGCCTCCAAGGTGCTGGGTGACCACTCTCATCCTGAACTGCCATTTCAGACCTCGTCACCAGTTACAGTGATACTCAAATGCACTGTGGCTTAAAGTCTCTGCAGAAAATCGGAAGAGGACACAACTCAGCCCAGAATGGTGTCAGACGAGGGTCAGTGCACCCTGAAATGGTCTACAGCCTCTCTTCCCCATCCTGTCCCCAGGACTCCTCATGGCCATTTGTGTCCCACCTGGTGCTGTGCCCACTATGTCCTGTGCCTTTTATTCTAGGCTCCCTCAGGTGGCTTCTCCAGGCAACCAGGGCTGCAGCAGCCCCTTGTGGGCCTTCTGGGAAAACACAGCCAGGTTTCCACATAAAGCAAAGATCAGCATTGGGGGGGATCAGAAACAGGGGGGGTGCGCGGGGGAGAGGGAAGGAGGCTGAAAATAGCAAGGGAACCCCACAGGAATGCAACTGGCTCTCCAGAGGAACCGTGATGAACATTTCTCACCACGCTCAAAGCCATACTGAGGTAAGGCCCATCTCCATGGCACATTCCCTCACCTCCCAGGACCCCAGTCAGCCCCTTTTAAAAATGGGAACACGAGGAGCACACTGTTAGGAGCGCGGCTTTGTGGAGGAAGTGTGTCACTGTGGGGGTGGGATCTGAGGTAATACACGCTCAAGCTAGGCCTAGTGTGGCGGTCTTGGCTTCTGCTGCGTGCTGATCCAGATCCAGAACTCCCAGCTCCTTCTCCAGCACCAAGTCTGCTTGTATGCAGCAATGTCCCATGCAATGATGATAACGGACTAAACTTCTGAAACCGTAAGCCAGCCCCAATTAAATGTTTTCCTTTATAAGAGTTGTCATGGCCGTGGTGTCTCTTCACAGAAATAAAAGCCTAACAAAGATACCGTGTCACAGAGACTGCGAGTATAACCTGTAAGGGGTCACTGCCATTTCCTTCGAGTAACCCTGCCATCCCCGCCCCCAGTAGGTCCAGCATCCCCACTGAACGCTGGTTCTCAATGGCTACCGTTCCAGGTACTACAGAGATGTGGACCTGGCATGTTCTGATGGGACAAACCAATCAGACAGGCTCTGTGTGGTTCTCATTCTCAGTCCTGGGTGAGGAAGTTCCTGAGGCCCAAGTAGATGAGGGCAGAGCAACTGTAAGGGCAGGGTAATAACATCCTCTGTGCCAGAGTTTTCCTCTACTCCACGCCATCTCTGCTTTCTAGAGGGAAGTCCGCCATCCAAGGCATGAGGACTGCCACCGCCACTCATGGACTTGCATTTGCCTGAAATTTCTCCTGCTACCTGCAAGATCCGAACCCAGTAACATAAGTAACTGAAAAGCTAGACGACTTGGTTAGTACACTGATGCCCCCATGGTTTTCTGTCCCACACGACCTTCACTTTTGTGATCAGCGTCTTTCCATACCACCAGCCCAGGCTTCCCTGCCTCCTGCCTGCTCTGCTGAGCTAGCCTGGTGCAGCAGGTGGGTGTGGCACATGCCGCAGCATCAGCTCTCAGGCCAGTGGGGCTGCCAGCAACCCTGCACATCTGCTCTGCCCAACAGCCATTCAGAACCCCATACAACTAACAGAGCTTTTATTCCAGGGGTTTCCCAGTGTTTTAGCAGGTTGAAAGCAACTGGCAAAGAGAGCCAAGGCTCTGAATTTGGTTTGGTGACTGAATAAACAGGGAGCTGGATACAGTAAGACCCAGGCCACAATGTAGGCGAGTAGCCTTGCATCACAGGTCAGGACCCTGACCCTTTCCAGCTGAAGCTGACCCCAAGTCCAAGGCTCATCACTCACAGTCCCTAAACATGCATATTAAGCAAGGATACTGCTGAGTCTTTCAACAGCTGCCAGCCTCTACCCCAGTTGCTCACTCTTCCCCCACAGAATAAAGGTGAGCAAGCAGATTCCCAGGAGATATCTGCAGCTTTCCCCAGAAGCAGGGACACAAGCTACTCAAGGGCAAAGCTCCTTGGGACAAGAACACACACACACACACACACACACACACACACACACACACACACACACACACACATTTAAAGACACATACCATGTATATCTGGCTGCCCTGGAACTTTCTATATAGACCAGGCTGATCTAGAACTCACAGAGACCTGCCAGTCTCTTCCTCCTGAAGTTTAAAAAAATATTTATTTTTATTATTGTAAATTATATATAGGTACGCGTGTCTGTATGCATATCTGTTCACATGAGTGCATGGCCCACAGAGGCCAAAGATGTCAGAACCCCTACAGCTGAAGTCATCCATGGTTGTGAGCCGCCTAACTTGGGTGCTGGGAACTAATCTTGGGTCCTCTGGAAGAGCAGCGAGAGTTCTAATCTACTGAGTCACCCTGTCCCAGCCAGTCCCAGGACAAGACTTCAAACCAGTTCCAGCCTGGCTACTCTGAGGAGTTGACAGCACAACCTTCCCACCGCTGGGACAGGCCCTCAATCGTGCACCTCAGCATCTGTGTCCAGTCATCTCCTCTCTGCATCGGGATGCAGCGTGTCTCCTTGTGCTCCAGGGCTAGGATCTCTGCAGGAGTCTGGGGAGTCAGCCCAGCAGCCTGGACTGCTTCTGGGAATTTGGCTGCAGAGGCAGGGGCTAGGCAGCACCGAGAGATGCTACTGAAGACGGGCAGGACACGTGAGAACAGGTAGCAGGATGGGGAAGAAGATGGAGGAAGGAGGACCAGGGGAAAGGTTCAGGACAGGGTAGGACAGAGAGCAGAGACAAAGACATGATTAGTACCTCAAACTTACCTATATAATAAGCCTGCAGCGTTTCCCTATGAAGACCCAGTGGCCATCGCCTCCCCTTAGGACCTGGGATATAGTTCACGCCTCTTCTAAGGACAGTTGTAGCTCTTGGGCACAGAACCCACCATGGTCACCAACATCACTATTCTCGATGCCCTGCTTCGAGAAGAGTTATTCCCCCAGTGCCCCAGGCCTCCCTGCTGGTACCTGGACTGCCCATTGTCAGACTGCTGGTAATGGTAGTTCACCGCTGTGGCTGAGTGGGGGCACAGCAGGTACTGGTTCTCCTCCCAGCAGCGGCCCATAGTCTGGATGATGGCCTCATCAGACACCGACTCGGATGTTACAGCCTCTGAAAGCTGAGGGTCAGGGGACAGGGGTGAATGTTGGGAATCACAGAAGGAGGACTAGGACCCTGTGATATGCACAGCCACAGCAGCGCCAGGAATACTGACCCAGCTCAGAGTAAAATCAATTTCCAAGTTTTGAGCCAATTCCAGTTTTGAGCCTACTTAGTAGAAGGGTTCACAGAAGTTTTGGGTACATCTCAATGTATTTAGATCATGAATCAAATTAGCACACTCCTGATCTACAGCCAGATACAACACAAGTCAGGGGTGTTCAGACTTCCCGTGGAGTGAAAACTACCCTGTCAGTGCTCACCCCATTTAGGAGCACCTCCCCGGGAACTTCTTACTCACAGGCAGAGGAAGACTCCCTTCTCAGAGCTCCCTGGCATACCAGATAGTTTCTTGAAGAAGTTCTGCTTGCTTACAACATAGCAAACACCCTACAGGTACCCAATGGCATCATAGACCAAGTGGTTCATAGATTGTTTATGTAGCTATTTCCTGGTTAGGGTCAGAGACAGTAACCAATATTTTTTCCCCTTCTCTTCCTCCTCATCTTCTTCCTTTTCCCAGTTCTGAGGATTGACTGGAGGGTCTAATGCATATTAGGCATATGCTCTACCATTTAGATGCATCACTCAGAATGTTAGCTGCATTTGTATTTCCAGCATCTAACCTAGTTCTTGAACCATAGCCAATAGATAATATGGATAGGTGGATGGATGGGTGGGTGGATGGGTGGGTGGGTGGATGGATGGGTGGATGGATGGATGGGTGGATGGATGGGTGGGTGGATGGATGGGTGGATGGATGGGTGGATGGATGGGTGGGTGGGTGGATGGGTGGGTGGATGGATGGGTGGGTGGATGGATGGGTGGGTGGATGGATGGGTGGATGGATGGATGGATGCCCTTCCAGCAAATACAGCATCCTTTGAGTATAGCCAGGGAGAAAATGAAGAAACAGAGGATATGATGTTCAGTTTTAATGGAGGATCCTATTTACATAAGGAGGCAGAATATTGATTATCTGCACAAACCATGAACCAAACAAACTAATGTTTGGCTCTGTCAAAAGCAATTAAGCTATTCAGAGCACTGCCTGCGATTGCAGAGGACCCAGGTTTGGTTCTCAGCATCCACATGGTGGCTCACAACTGCCTGTAACTGCCATTCCAGGGGATATGATGCCCCTTTCTGGCCTCCACAGGAACTGCTTGCATGAGGTACACATACAATGCACATTGGTAAACATTCATATACATTAAATAAAAAATAATAAAGCCCTTTTCAAAAGAAGTATAGATTATAAAAAAAAGGGAGGCCCCACTTTGGTCTTCAAGGGTATATAACTCAGCTCAGATAACTTTGTTCAGGGTTGAGACTAGCCCTTCAGGAGGGACACTAACACATGAGGGACTAAGTTAAAGGAATTGGGAAGGCCATGTTGGTCAATAAGGATTCTCTTTAAGTGGAGGACACTATGGTAAAATCTAACTGTGCAATCTATAAGGAGCACATTCTAGAACTTTGCAATGATCAGAGTTGTAGTGAGGTAGATGTTTCAGTCCCCCAGTGGGGGAATGCGGAGCTAGCATGGCCACTGGGTGGGAATGAGGGACAGAAGTTTAGGATACCCTGTAAAATAAGGCCCTATTGCCAGGCCGTGTTCAAATAAAAGCAATGCTTTCTAACTAGCTTCCTAAAATAAATCAGACTTATGTATTAACTAAATGAAGTCTCTCTAACAGAGAGACAGAGACAAGAACAAAGGACAGAGATAGGGTCAGCAAGAGCTGTAGTCTCTGTCCATGCCAGAAGGGCAGAACGACTTTGCCCTTGTACAGTTATTGCCATTATTGGAAATTAACAACAATAATAAATAAAAATATTCTGGAATGCAGGCATAACACTGTATAAATAAATAAATCTTAAAAAATAGGAATGGTAACTGCTATGTATTTCCAGCAGTATGTAAAGAGCCTCCCGTGTAATCTCACAGCACCTTATGAGACAGGCTTTCTTGTTATCCTGGCTCTGCAGATGAGGAAACCGAGGCACTGCTTTTATAAGAGTAGCTTAGTGCTTCACAGCTCTCCTCATTCAATCAGTGTTAACTGTGAAAGTTCCTGGTTTGCAGAAGATGCTCAGAAACCAGGCGTTCCCATCCCTTGTTCAGACAGACTTCCATCCCCCCAGTCTGTCCTGTGGCTGTGTCCCTTTCTTCCTCCATGGGATAGGGGTCTTTGTGCTCACAGATACACACTAGGGGAACCTAGAACATTAAGCACATAGGGTTGTTCCTTTAAAGGAAGGAATGTAATAACCGCTATCCACCTAGAAGGCTGGATGTGGATGTGTTTACTAGTCTAGTGACCTTTGCCCTGTGTGCTAGAGACTTTCCCAGCACCCATCATCAGTAAAGTCACAGAACCAATCCCGACGACTTTACAGAGTTTCAGTGTAGTCACACCTGATCTGTGTGTGACTTGTGTGTTCTTTGTTGTGCACATGGACTGAGTTAATCATCACAAGAATGGCATGCACCACATTGTGCTGTGCTTAAGATGCCTAAAATAAACCACTGGAGGTCAGACTAAAGACATTTGAACCAAGAGCGTCTACTGAGTCCTGGCGAACTGAACTGCCTTCTTGCCTCTCTTAGATCGTCAGTCTGCTGGCTGTGGAGGTTGTAGAGACACCGCACCCTCCAACCCTACTCCCACAGGCTATGGCCAGTGACCAACCTTGCTATGTAGTTCCTTGGGTAGGTGCAGACTTTGGGATCTTTCAAACTGTTCCATGAGGGCTCTTGTTGCCTGGCTGTCAGAGCCAGAGAGCAGCCAGAAGATCCTCTCCATATTGTAGGGCACCTGAGTGGAGAGGCAGGGCTCTAGGCCACCCCCATTCCAACCGTTACCCAGCCCCGCCCCGCCCCACCCCACCAGCTGCTGACTGATTTTCTCCCCACGGGGCCCACCTGAATGTCCATAGCAGATGCCAGGGTTGGCTTGACGACCTCACACAGAGAGAAGTCTCCCTTCTGGACAGTCCTGTGGATGATGTCATTGCCGTTCACTGCCACAACCAGGCGGATGGGCAGGCCCATCTTCTGAGCAATGCACCCAGCTTGGGACAAGATTGGAAGACAACAGGCAAATTTTAGGACAAAGGCAAAGAATTCTTTTTTTTTTTTTTTTTTTTTTTTTTTTAATTGAGCTTAAATAGAAACAGACCAACCTGGGTGCTGTTTGGAAATGAGGCTAGAGAGAGATGAGAAGAGACGTAGGACGTGGGAGAGGGAGAGAATGAGGAGCGTCACTGTGCCCTGCCTCCCAGGGACTAACACACTTATGAAGGGTGTGCATCAACCTCCGCAGAGGAGGAAACATCTTTCCTGCACCCTACCCACCTGCAGAGTCTAGATCTTTACATTCCACCCCTGCGGCTCAGGGAGGGCGACTGACTGTTCACTGCAGACACACCAGGCTAAGTGGCACAGCTTCTGGGGCTTCTCCTGTCTCCGTCATCTTGTCGTGGGAACATGGAGATTGCAGATGTGTGCTGCCACATCTGGTTCTGTGTCTAAAGATCCACACTCAGACTCGTGTGACAAACACTTCACCCACTCAGTTCTCCTTCCCAGGCCCTCGCTTTTTGGAGGGAGTGGGGACGTTCACCAATATCACCTTAAGTTTGTAAAGCCCGTTCATTCACACTCTTATGTCACTTCATTGCAGTGTCCTTCAGTGATGAGGAAAAACGGAAGCTCAGGAGGGCCCAAAGACTCAAGGCCGAATGGGTCCTTAGGAAGACGGCCAGACGGGAACGTCCTTTGCGGCTATTGCCAATGTTTTATTTTCTGCCATGTGCTGTGCAGGGCGCAGCTACAGGTGGCATCTCTAGTTTGAAGATGACATGGAGGGGAAGCATGCTGGGTGTCAGCCTCTGAGGAGTGGGGAAAGCAGCCTTCCTTGCCTAACTGACAGCCCACTGTCATTCTGTCTTCCTATAAGAAGCCAAGGGGTCTCCTAACACTACGATGTTTTTTACCATTTCACCCAATTCACTCCTGGGGCCAGAGACACTCACACCATTGCCTCCTCAAGAGATGGCAAGGGTGTGGACCCCAGCCAGCTTGGGCTGTCACCTTGGCTCCACTACCGGTCAGCCACTACCGGGAGAGCTAGCTTCTCTGTGTCCAGTTCCTCGTTCTAAAATGTAAGAGTACTTCAGGTGGACCTGGATACACATCTGCAAACCTGGGCTTCCACATCTGCAAACCCAACTGACCAAGAATCAAAACTGTCCAAAACAGGGTGTGGCGATACACCCTACAATCCCAGTACAGTTGTTAGAAGCCGAGGCAGGGGGATGGAGACTGCGCTATACTGAATTCAAGGGCAGACTGAGTTATAGAATGAGAACCTATCCCAATTTAAAAAAATCACACCTATATTAAACATGTTCAGACTCTTCGTTGCAAACGCTCATTAAAGCCCATGTCCACTAAAATGACATCTTTGTTGCAAATGCTCATTAAAGCCCAGTGGCCACTGAGATGACCTTTGCATATTGTTTCTTGTTTAAAGCATGCAGGTGTACGTGAGTAGGTCATATGCAAACACCATGCCATTTTACGTAAGGGACTTGAACGTCTGCAGAGTTTGGTATCCGAAGGCATTCAGGAACCAATTGTCCTGTACAACAGGAGACAGCCACATTGTCCTAGCCCCATGAAATTATTAACCCACGAAAAACACTTAGGACAACAGCACCTGGGGCATGCATAGTTAACGCCTGAGAATGTTTGTTAGTATTCGGTGCCAGGCAGTGTGGGACAGCACTTTTCCTGTTCAAAGCTCACGGGCACCCCGGCAGTCAGACACGTGATCAGGCTTTCATAGCCTAGGAGCTGAGTCTGAGGAACGCTCTAACAACTGTGCATCTAGTAAAGGGCCAAGCCAAGGCCAGACTCCCGAGGTCAGAGTCTGTTCCGCTTCACACGGCCCCAGGGCAGTGAGAACACAGAGCGCCACTGCACAGAGCGGGTGTCCCTCAGCAGGCGGCGGGCAGAGCTGGGAGTAAAGTGGAAATGTTGGGAAAGGACACCGAGCTAAGTTGAGCCTTGATTTATGTCTACTAGCAAATAAGTACAGGCCAGGCTGCTGAAGTTCCTGGGCCGAGCCCCTCAATCTCCTTCCGCTGCAGGACCGTGGAACGCTCTGTCCCCAGCCTCTGCAAGTCAGAAGAAATCTAGGGCATTCCACACGGCTTTCTGTCCTCTTTAGAATAAAACAGCACCTTCTTCTCCACATTTGTAGGCAAAGGGCAGCTGGAAAGACTGGGCACTTTCTGGAAAGCCCATTTGCATCCCAGGATCTCCTTACCTGCAAGGTTACCCGCAGCCCCTGTTGGCACAACCACCTCCACAGGGGGGAGGGGGTGCGTGTCCAAGGAGGGTGCACACTGGAAATAAGCGAAGAAGTGGTGTGCCATCTGCACTAGGACCCGAGACCAGTTGATGGAGTTCAAGCTCATCAAGTTGTGCCTCTGGACGAAAGCCACATCAGCAAACACGGCCTTGATGGGCTCATCAAGTTCATCGCTGTTCCCTTCCACTGCCAGGGAGACAGAAGAGGTGAGCTCTCAGGGGCGGCGCGGCAGAAGCCCCGACAGTCCCTCTGAGCTCCGCCAAGGCCCATCCTCTTCCATCTAGTCCAGCCTTTCACATGGCCTGGCCTGGCTTTCCAGGCTCTGTATAAGCTGCTTGGGGAATAGAACACGGGTCATTTGTTCTTGTGACCCTGAACCTTTGTCCTCACTTGGGAGAAAAGAAAATGTGGTCAGAACCATTTCTAATTGTCTTGTATTCTATAAAACACGATAGAAAAAGTCAGCATCCTGGGATATTGGGGAAAGAATTCCCCTTGTACTTCAAGCCTTCATTATTCCACAAAGACTATGTCCTTCACTCTGCTGAAGGGAAGCAGAGGGTGTTTGCCCAACTGAAACATGTGAACCCGATTGGGACGGGGGAGGGGGCAGTGGGGACAGGGATGGGGTGGTCACTTCTCCTCTGTAGAGGAGTGCCAGCATCCCCATCTCTGCTCCTATGTGCTGGGCAAGCTTGCTTGGGCAGAACTTTCCCCTGAAGCTGAGTGTGTACACTGGGGTGAATTATTGGGTAAATTATCCACCAGTCTAACATCAGCAGCCCCATCTAGCTGCCTCAGTAAATGCACCAGTATTAACCCTTCCCTGATATCCGTATCTAATTCTCCTTTTGGGTCCATCTCAAGGTGGGGCTGTGTGTGGAGGCTACTGGGAGAAAGTACCAGGACAGCCGCAACCCTTCCCTTCTCATCACGGTATAGCAGCAATGAAGGCGGGTACCGTCTGCAAGTCCATGTGTGAACCCCAAGCAGCCTGGTCCATGTGTGGTGGCCCATCTCCTTGCTAAGGCCAAGCCAGTCTTTGCCTGGCATGCCCATGGGGTCAGGAGTTGGGTCCAAGATGGACATGTGAGTCTCAGGTCACTGAGACTCAGAAGGACATTTGCTGGGGTGCTAGAGAAATGAGCCCCACTTTTAAGGAAGAGTCACAGGGGAAGGGAGACTTGGCTACCTCCAGAGGAAGGAGCCTAGGATTGGGGAGGGCAGAGCAGAGACTGGGGAGTACTTGGGAAAATCAGCTAAGTGAGAGCCTCTTCACATCTGGACATCCCAGTTACAGAAGCCGGAATTTGTTCTTTCAGGTACATGAGTTGGGTTTTCTGTTGCTTCCATACCAAAGCCATATACTATAATCGATGAACATCTAGTGCCTACTCAGGACTTGGTGCTCAGGGATCACACAATGCACATGGAGACTATCACCCTTACAAACCCAGTGGCTGGGCCAGACGCTTGCCTTGTGTATTTGTTACATGTCTATTGCTGTTATAAGACACTGTGACCAAAGCAACTTGTAGAAGAAAGAGATTCTGGGGGCATACAGTGTCAGAGGGTTAGAGTCCATGGCCATCTGGCGTGGCGCTAGAGCAGTGGTGACAGTTTACTGCTTGTCCACTCTAGTGACACAACTCTATCAAGGCCATACCTAATCCTTCCCAAGTAGTTCTACCAACTGGGGGCCGAGCACTCAGGTATATGAGCCTATGGGGCTTTCTCATTCAAACCATCTCATCTCACTCCCGGTTCCCGCGGGTTTACAGCCACATCATAATGCAAAATGCAGTGAGTCCAACTTCAACAGTCCCCATAGTCTATCAGTCTCAAGACTTAGAAATTCAAAGCCAAACTCTCTTAATTGTAACACCCTATAAACTAAAAAAAAAAAACTATGTATTTCCAAAATATAATAGCACAGAATATATAAGCATGACAGCCTGACTTTGATCTTGGTGCCCATTTAAAGGTAGAAGAAAAGAAATGACTCCACAAGGTTGTTCTTTGACCCTCATGTGGTCATTGTGTCATATGCATCCTTCTACACATCACACACACAATGATGATGATGAATCAATAATCTCAGCATTCACGCGGTCCATCCCTACTCCTTGAGCTCACAAAGGGAAAACACATCTTTCTTATTAGCCCCTGAATCCACACACATCTTCTTAACAGTCAAAGCAGAAGCCTCAAAGAAGGAAAAGAAGACAAGCAGCACTTAAAAACAAACTTAATGTCTTCAAAGCCTACAGAACTATTTCCTTGATGCACAGAACAGAAACATCTTAGCTCTAGCAATGACTATGACATGATACACTTATCATCAACAACACATCTGACACTATTTCCCAGGTGGGCAATGCTCTCCAGCTGCAGGTGAAGATCCCATTCATGTCCTTAGACAAAAGTCTTCCAATATATCCTTATGAGTTAGAGAGAAGAACTGAAGAACTACAGAACAAAAAGCAATTCTCGGCTTTAATGTTAGGAAAAGACAGCCCTAGACCCACGATGAGCAAGCTTGGCATGTGAGAAACATAGGGCCTTCAAGAGCCCAAACATTTTTCATTAAAGTCTCACAATGACTGTTGGAGCCTGCTCCAACCCGTCAGCTGGGTTACCCGAGTAGGGGCATGAGGATTGAGAAAAGGCAGATAAAAGAAACAGACAGAGACACAGGCTAGCTCAGGTCCATGCCTTTCAGCACACCGGACAGCCCCCAGTTTAATTTAGACCCTGCTTATGTGCGACTAGAGGCAAAGCAGAACAAAGAGCAGCATAGTTAATAACCAGCTCCCTGCACTGTCCTTGAATGGAGAAGCAGCCAGGTTCCCTATCTGTCACGTGAGTCCGGCTAGCAGCAAGCGGCTTTATTCCCTATCTCTATGTGCCTTTCGGGTGGCATCAGAAGCTCGTTAGTTAGATGATATGCTCTTTCCCATGGGCTTAATCAGAACTTTCTCACAGCTCTCAAGGAGACTGAAACAAGCAAGCTTGAACTTAACATCTTATAGGTCAGAATAGACTCCAGATGGACACTGAGTCACTTGTGGGCTCCCACAAACGACCATAGAAAAGTGCAGCCAGATCCAAGGCTCATGCATAGGACTTTGCCTCCAATGGCTCAGCCACACCGTGGACTTTATCCTGGCATGTGCACATGCTTGCCAAAGAAAAGAGCAGAGGGCCCTTTTCTCTGCAGTTATGAAAACAGACAAAGGGGTTCATGCTGCTCTCGTGACAAGACTTCCCCCCAGTGTCTGAGCTCCTTGGTATATTCGTACAGGCCATCCTCTGTGGTGCTTGTCTTAGCTACTGTGAAGAGACATCATGGCCAAGGCAGTTTATGAAAGGAAGCATTTAATTGGGGTCTTGTTTACACTTACAGAGGATTGGTTCTAGATCATTCTGGCAGCAAGCCATCGGGCATGGGACTGAGTGTTTACATCTGATCCACAGGCTGATTGATTGGGACTGGACTGAGCTCTTGGAACCTCAGAACCTACCTCCAGTGTCACAACTCCTCCAACAAGGTTTCATCTTCTAATCCTTCCCAAACACTAACCAGCCATTCAAACATGTGAGCTCTCGGGGGCCGTTTAAAATCAAAACACCTCAGGATTATACCAGGACCCAGGCAAATTGTAGAAGGAATTTTATTTTAGTTTTATTTATCTATTTTTAAATTTATCTTATGTGTATGTGTGTCTTGCCTGCATGTATGTCCGTGTACCGTGTACATACAGTGCCAGAGGGGAACATTGGATCCATTGGAACCGCTGTTACAGATGGTTGTGAGCTGCTATGTGGATGATGGAAACTGGACCCTGTCTTCTAGGAGAGTAGCTAGTGCTCTTAACCCCTGAGCCATCTCTCTACCCACTTATATTTATTTATTTACTGCTAGAACATTTCCTATGTATAAACTGAGGGATCAAAAAATAATGCTGCCAAAAAAAAATTATGCAGGACAACCAAAGTGTGTAAAACCCCAACCAAGACCCCTAAAGCTACTGTTGCCATAAATTAGCCAACGTCTTCATTAGATGACCATCCATAATGTAACTGGTAGCAAGCAGCACCAAAATAGGAATTTTGAGCAGTCTGTCCTCTAAGGAAGGGCATGGACTGCTAATCCATACGGACACATTCTCTCAACTATGAAACACGTCTGTGCCCATAACACTCCAGTGCCCTGGCTTAAATGTATGGCTCTGCATGGCTGCCTACATGTGACATTGGCAAGTGGGACCTGCACGGAGGCAGCATTGATAGACACCTGTAATAGTTGGACACAGTGAGTGCAGGTCTAAAGTGTATGCCAGCTAGTGTGGGAAACTGTGAAGCTGGGAACTTGCCCAGAGCTAATCCCACCTATGAAGACAGGCAAGCCAGGGCCACACAGCTCCCGTGCCTACCTCCAAACACACGGACATTCTCCTTCAGCACTGTTGTCATCTGGAGCTCCTGAATCTTTGTGCAACGGCCTTTGGGCAACAAAACAATGATGTCCACATTCTTCAGTCCTTGGACACTCTCAATGGCAGCACTTCCTGTGTCCCCAGAAGTTCCTAGAAAAAGACCAACCCTCCCTTTAGAACAAGGGGCATGGAAAAAGAATGAAATAGACCTTAAAATATTGGTGCCCAAGGACAGCAACAAAGGCTTTCAAATACTTGAAAGACAGGTGCTTAATACTTAGCCCCGGGTCCTTAGATACACTGGTAAAATTTAGGATACCATCGAGTATTCAGTACAACTAAAAATATCACTCTGAGAAGGACCCACAGCCTTCAGCAGACTCACAAAGGGTCTATGATAGTTAATCTTGTCAACTTGGTGGTTTTTTAGAACTGTCATGGAAACCACCTCTGGACGTGTCTATAAGGACATTTCCAGCAAAGTTTGATGGAAAAGAGAAGACCAACCCTGAATGGAGGCGGCACTACTGTGTGAGCTGTGGTCCCCGGCAAAATGAAACCAAGGGAGCAAGCTGAGCACCAGCATCCATGCTACCTGGTTCCTGACTGTCGAGACAATGTCACCATGCCTTCCCCGCCGTGCGCACTGTGCTCCCAGACTTAACTCTGAGCACCGAACTTTCTTTACCCAAGTTGCCTTTTTTGGGTATTTTGTCCCGACAATGAGGAAATTAACTAATAAAGAATCCACTGGCTTTCAACCTACTAACGCTGAGACCCTTTAATACAATGTTGTGGCGACCCTCCAACCATAAAATTACTTTCATTGCTACTCCATAACTCTAATTGTGCTACTGTTATCAATCATGATGTAAATATCTGTGTTTTTTGATGGTCCTAGGTGACCCCTGTGAAAGGGTCATTCAACACCCAAAGTGGTTGCAACCACACAGGTTGAGAACTGCTGATCTAGAAGCACTGATAGCATAAGCCTTAAAAGATTCAATCAAGGGCCTCTTGTGCATGGGCATCCTCCAGCTGGGGCGCTAAAGGTCCCTGTCCCTTCCCAACACCCACCTACGACAATGGTGACATGCTTTTTTCTCTTCTGCAGGAAGTACTGCATGAACTGAGCTGTGCAGGACAGAGACAGGTCCTTAAAGGCATATGTGACCCCATGCCACAGCTCCAGTATGTTCAGCCCATCCCTCAGCCTGTGTAGATGAACCACATCTCTGTGGCGGAATCTGCTGAAGGCTTGGTCAATCAGATCTGCGAGGGAAGAGATTGGACAGCAGGTGAAGGTATTAGCTCTTCAAGTTGCCTTTGTGCCTCTTCAAAGTGTTGACTCCCACTGCCAGATAAAGAGTCCAGAAAGCCTGATCTTAAATGACATATTTAAAAATAGAATTGTAAAGGTCTAGAAAAATCTGGGGGGGGGGGGGGAATACATGCGGACATGTATTAAACTGCTCATAAAAGCATTCCTCTTTAGAATTCCTGGAGACTAGACCTGGCTCTAGAAAAATGCCTAGTTTTTAGTTTGTATACTTCTTATTGAGTCTTTTTTATTCTATTTTTATTTATCTTGTGTGAATGGGTGTTTTGCCCGCTGTATGTTTCATGTGTGTGCAGTGACTGAAGAGGCCAGAAGAGGGAGCTAGAGTTACAGATGGTTACCAGCCACCATGTGGCTTCTGGGAACTGAATCCAAGTTCTCTGGAGGAGCAGCCAGTGCTCTTAACTATTGAGCCATCTCTCCAGCATATTTGAGTCTCTTTATAAGCATGTATTTTAATAGAAGATCAAATCATAGACCAAATTAGTCAGTTCAGCCTCCTAACTTTCGCCCCTAAAGGTGGAAGTTTTGTTAGTTTGTTCTTTGTAATACTAAATCTCACACCTGTGGTGCCAGGACAGATGTTTGTAAACTTAGCCACAGTTTAGCTCTGAGCTTCTTGAACTTCCGTTGTGGGCCATACCTGAGGTATTATTAAAATGTGGAGTCTGGATCAACAGTTCTGATCTGACTTTGAAATCTCTAACCCCTGCCCACGTGGTGCCATCACTGTTGGTCACAGGAATAGTGTTTCCCAACTACACAACCTTCTGTTACTTTTGCTGACTTGACACAAACCCAGACATATCTGGGAAAAGAGAATTTTCCTCCGTCAGATTGGCTTGTAGCAAAGCCTGAGGGAATTTCCTTGTTTAATGACGGTATGGGAGGCGCCCAGCACACTGGGCAGGTGGCTTAGGGGTGCATAAGAAGGAAGGATGAGCAAGCCATGGGGAGCAAGCCAGCAAGCATCTCCTCCATGTGTCCCGCCTCAGTCCCTGCCTCCAGGTTCCTGCCCCTGACTTCCCTCAGCAACAGAGCATGGCCTGAGGGCTGTATTCCGAAAGAAACCTTTTCCTCCCAAAATTGCTTTGGTCATGGTGTTTGATCACATCAACAAAAACCCTGGCTAAAAATATTACCCTACAGATTTCCTTCTTGTCACTCAAAGTGTCACCTGAGAACCAACAGCTGCAGCCTTACATATGCACTGGTTTTATAATGATCGTGGCTCTATAGCAGGACCAGGTGGAAGAGAAACTTCCATCAACAATTTTCTATGGTTAATTTGCATCTCAGGGAGGGTCTGTGTGGTGCTGAGCTGGGGTGGGGATGTTGTGGGGGGGATGTTGGGGAGGTTCCTCACCATTTAGGTCATGTCTTGGAATGAGCTCCAGGCCAATGAAGAGGGCACACAGCTCCTTCACCAGGCTGCGATAGGAAAGTGTGCTCCAGCGACACAAGGTCTCTCTGTCCAGCTGTGGGAGCTCCTCTGGCATGTAGAGGCCGCCATCTGGTGCATAGCCAGAGAAGAGGGCCCCCTCAAAGTTGACCCGTGGGGCCCCTCCCCGGGTGCTGGTGTACCACATGATCCTGGGAGCCTGCAGAGAGAGTCCCAGAGGCAACTGGGTGGAGCTGAGCACACACAGTCCTCTGTACCACAACTCCCTGGGATATGTATCTCAGACACAGCTATGGCAGCTCTTATTTGAATCTCAGCTTTACCAAGTCTTGTGTAAATTATGATCCCTCTGATCAAAACAAGCAATTCCACCGAGCTCACTACCTTGAGATATACGCATTGGAACAGGCAAGGAAAGAACCACAACTCTTACCAGTGGCCAAGAAAACCTGGGAATGGATAAAGACCATAGCAATAGAGGTAGCTGCTGTTTTTGACAGGCTTCTTTACTAGTAGGGAAAAGACCAGAACACCTGACTGGCAAACGCTGGTGTGGATGTGGGGGAAAGGGGCACTTATTCACTGTTGGTGGGAGTGCAAACCTGCACAGCCTCTATAGAATTGGCGTGGTGATTCCTCAACAAGCTAGAAATGGACCTACCATATGATCCAGATATACAACTCTGGGCACATTCCCAAAGGACGCTATATCCGACTGCAACGACATTTGCTCATCCGTGATGATTGTTGTAAATGAGATCACAGAACGTTTTAAAATGACCTCACAATTTCATTTTGGGCCTCATTCATAGCTGTGCTCAGGTGTGTGCATTAGACTGCCTGAAACCAAGAATAGTATTAAATAGAACTTGGGTGTGGGGGATACTGTCCTGCTGGGACAATGAGTATAAACAGAAATGACTTTAGAAATCTGGCATATACAGTCACCCCACACAGGACTCCATCACAAAGAACAAAATCAAGGCAACCTCAAAAGCCCATTGCAGGCGCAGCATCTCAGAGGGCAGAAGCAGGGTCAGAAGGTCAGAGGCTAGGCAGTTAGCTCCTTTAATAACCACAGGGAACCCTGGAATGCTGTGGACAGTGTCAGCTCCCAGGCAAACTGGCCTGAAATCCTCTCTGCATGACTTTACCAGACCAGACCAAAGGAAATGCTGCAAAAAATCGCAACCAACCAAACTGCTGCAGGTGCCCGGGCAGGACAGAGGCAGGCAGGGCGACAAGGCACAGCTAAAAGGATCATTTCCCCAAAGCCCCGTTCTCCGTGGAATGGGCCACATGGTACCCAGGCACGGAGGCGGGCTCCAGATTCTGCAACCCAAGAAAGACAAGAACAGGGAACAGAGCTTGGCTTGAAGCAGCTCGCACTGGCGAGTTCTGTGTGAGCAGTAAGAATACGGCTGCTTAATCACAGAGGCCCAAGCTCTTCTTGGTTTTGATCAATCATTCACGCGACAGTGTTCCCAGCCTAACAACTACAAAAAAAAAAAAAAAAAAACCCCGATGGTCCATTTTTTAGCAAAGCTAAAACAACAACAAACAAAAAACCAGTTGTGCTGATTTTTTAGACTGTTGTGTGAGGGCTCAGACCTCCACAGTACATTATTGTGGTAATTACTTCTTGGGACTTCTCTGGATTTTATTCCAGAATGAAGACAGGGCAATAAGCACGATAAATAATAACAGTGATAATCCGCCTTTGGGCCCGAATTCTGCATCTGGGAAGGCCCCAAGCTGCAGGTGGCTACCCTCGGGGTTGGAGTCTAAGGCCTGGGAGCCAGGTGTAGAACCGCTGTAGCATTCACAGAGGCCGAAGGCGACACCCGTAGCCTCTGAACACAGCGCACTGTCCTGGGTTTCAGGGTTCTCCCCGCACTGCGGAACCCCGGCTGCAGGAGGAAAACGCGCGGAACCTTCCACCCGTGCAGACTGCTGCCACCCCAAAGCCCCAGCTGGCGTTAAGATCCTGGCAGGGAAACCAAGCTGAGCTGCGGGGGCCGGGATAGCAGCAGCCAGGACTCAGACGGGCCCCAGAAGAGAGCCACAGCGTTACCGTCGGGGGCGTGGAGCTGCCTGGCTACCCGAGTCCAGGGAGGGGGGCGACGAGCACCGCCAAGCTGTCCGGGAGCCCGAGGTTCTGCGGGAGTTTAATTCCGAGGCTGGGGAGGAGCTCTACCGAGGGAGGAGAAAGGGCGTGGAGGAGGGATGTGGAGGAGGGGTGCAAGAAGGGGGGAGCGGCAGAGAGGAGAGAGCAACTAGTCTTCCTGTGCTCTGAGGAGCGCCTCTCAGGCCCTGGATTTTCTTTTACCCATTATCTTCGCTGCAACTCGACAGAAAAAAAAAAAAAAAAAAACTGGTAAAATTATGTTTTATTTTTATTATTTATTTATTTGAGATAGGGTCTCTCTCTAGCTCTGTCCTTGAAGAACTTTCTATGTCCCCTTTTCCCCGCCCCCCCTCGATTTCTGGGATTAAAAATTTTGTTTAGTTTTTAGATGAGAGAACAGAGGGCCATGTGGGAAGAAGAAAGGCCCTTTTGTCCTTTGGCTTTCATGGCTCTGGCCTATGCTCAAATCCACCAGATGGGTGCATTTTTGGAGCTAAGCTTAGCTCCCCGGTCCCACCCTCCCCCCCATCCCCCCTCCTCCCTGCGTCTTCTTCATGGAGCTTGATTACCTTGAAGTCCTGGTCTTTGGACTCCATTCCTGAATGCTGAGATCACAGATGGCCGGCACCAAACCCTTATGCGGGGAATTGAACCAGAACTTCTGGTGTGTGCTAGACGAGTGCTTTACCAGCAGAGCTGCATTCCCAGTCTCCAGTTTGCATCTCCAGGGTGAAAAGAGCAAGCACTTGGGGGAAATTTTCTCCAAATATGCCCCAATGTCCCTGGATGCACATTCACACCCCCGAGTAAGCGGTGGTTTGAAGCTGGAACAGACAGGTACGGGCTAAGCTTTACTCTTGGCCCTGGGGTGGGCCTGATGCTTGCCCCAGCTGGGTCTCAGGGTCTCAAAGACGTCATTGGTGCTGCCTTTCTTGCTCATCCTCCTGTGATCTCTGCTTTCCCAAGTTGCCTGCCGTCTATGCTTCCAGCAGGCATGCCAGCCACAGCTTCAGGAGGTCTTACTCAGCTGCCAGCTGCCACTATCTAGGCTGGGTGGGCCTCAGAGTCTCCTGAGTAGGAAATACTAAGAGGCTGGCCCTGCCCAGGGTATGCAATGGGTCTTTCAAACATAAGATGGAGCCAGAGGCTTGCCATGGAGTTAACACAAGGGTCAGAGGGGCCAACCCACTAAGGGGGTATAGGTCAGTCAGGGACCTCCTCTGTGCTATCTGAGAGGTACATTTAACCACCCAGAGGCCAGGGAAACTGGGACTCACCAAATGCCATAAAAGTCAGCAGTGTTTGCTACCATGTTCCCAAGAAATCTTCCTAAGCATCCAAGGACAGCAGTACCATCCGCAGGCCTACCACCAGGCTCTCTGCCTGGGCTCCATCAGGCCTAAAGGACAGCGCGCGCGCGCGCGCACACACACACACACACACACACACACACACACACGGCCAGGGAGCAGCCTTCTGTGAAGCTCACCAAGTCTGGAGGAACAACTGAGTTAATCATTAGGGGATGCTGCCTAGGACATTCACACCAGGGGCGACGGAAGACCTAGGAAGGCTGGACTCTGAGAGAAGCCAGCACAGTCCAACCTTGGATGGAGTTCATGCTCTACTTTGAATCCACCTAAGAGCTTCTCCCCTCTTCCTAACAGTCTGTTATTGTAATACATGTGTAGATTTAAAGCTATGCAGTAATTAGTTCTTTCAAATAATCAGACTGGAGGTGGAGAGATGAGTTAGCGGTTCAAAGCATCGGCTGCTCTTAGCGAGTTCAGTTCCCAGCGCCTACCTGGCAGTTCACAGCCATCTGTAATTCTAGACGGGGGAGGGGGGAATCTGACCTCCACTGGTCCGGGCATGCAAGTGGCACATGCAGGCAAACCACTCAAACACATAAAATAATCAAAATCAAAAACAGAGTAAACAGACCAAGGCAATCTTACTGCGCTGCCCTTGGCACTGTTGCTCAAGCCCCGGGGTAAACATTGAGTTTACCCGTATCACTCAGTTCTCAACCCTCCAGTCCATTCAGCGCTCCCAGTTTTGTCCACAAGATGCACGCCCTACGGCCCCTTATGCCATCAGTAGGCCGGACCCCAGCGCTCCGTGGCTTAGCAATAACGCCATCCGCCCGTTAGAATCTGCCTCTGAGCCCATCTGGCCCTGAGTGCTTTCTCCAGTCCCAGCGGAGGCGCCCTAGAGCCCTTACTTTGGCACCCCGTGGTATGTAACACGAAGACATGAACAAATGGGTTTTTGGGTTTTTTTATTATTACATTTATGCATTGGTGTGTTTGTGTGCAAGCGTACACACATGTGTGCCTAGCACGCAGGCATAGCTCAGAGGACAACACTTAGAGGTGTGTTCTCTCCTTCTCCCAACAGGGTCCCAGGGATCACTGTCAATCAGGCCAACACCCCAGCATCTGCTACCTTCCCTTCTCCCATCATTCTGTGGCTTTCCCGGTCACGGTGGCCTCCATTCCTGTTCACTGGACATTGACAAACGGAATGGAAGAAGGGAGAAAATGAGAAGAGTGGGCGAGGGAGAGGTAGTCGCGCTCACGCCCCGCTGGGAGTTGTTTAGGGTTGGTCACTCTCTTCTCTGGTGTGGTACTGACGGTGGTTACACTACCTGCCACTAGATGGCAGTATGTGGTCAAGGGTGCTTGGGACCCGTGTCCTTTGGTTTTGGTTTCTATTTCTCTCTGCCTGGATGTCCAAACTTCAAAACATAACTACAACGGGAAATAATGGAGTTCTGGAAAGTTCAACATCTACCAAAGCAAACTATGTGTGCCCACAGCTGTTGGTGGCTACATTAGGCTACCCTCTCCTTCCGTGAGCTGGAGAACTGATTTGGGGAACACTTAGGTATGCTAAGTTGTTTTTGATAACATCCCCTCATTGAGACACTAATAAAACGGGTTCTCTTTTATAAATATATCCCATTTGCATTTAGTGTTAGAGACTTTAAAGCTGGACCAACCTGGAGAGGACTTTTGGGCTTCTGTTAGCTGAATGATGCATGGGAACTGAGCACGTTAGTGGGGTCTTTCTCCATAGACCTTTCCTCACTGGCCATACCTCTGTCCCTGCTGGGTTGGCGAGAGTAAACCTCAGATAATGTTCAAAAACATCAAGTATGGGGCCAGAGTCAGGCAGCGTAATCAGCTTTGTAAGTCACTCTGTGCTCGTATCTCCCAGAGCTTGAGAAGGGGATAAAGGTCAAGGGAGAGGCAGCTGCTGCCATCTTAAGATGTAACCTTGGCTCCAATTGTGTCCGCATCTGTGGGCTGACCCAGGAAGAGTTCTTTGATAGACAGTTGCTTTTGAGAAGCAGGAAAGTCCTCTACCTTGGGCTTTTTGGCCTGCGATGAATTTGAACCTTCTCCAGGTGGTCCTCCCCCCCCCCCCCGCGGGCTAGAGTTTCATCTTCAGGGTCCTGGCCTACGCTTCTACTGCAGTGAAGCAGGCTGCCCTATGATTTGCAAACATAATGAGTAGCCAGGCAAGCTAGTGCTACAGAGCAAATCCTGGTAAGAGCTAGAGGAACAAGGAGTTTGCTGTGCTTGTCAGGAACTACATCCATAAAGTCTCACCAACATGACTCCTGAACATGCCCCGAGCAAGGGCAAAACAGTAGACCTGGTAAAGTGATTGGAGAAAGCCTCAAGCCTATGCAAAGTATTTGGTTGGAGCTTCTGGCTTGCCCCTGCAAGTTTCTCCCTTCCTCCCTCTCTCCCTCTCTCTCTCACTCCCTCTTTCTCTCCCTCCCTCACCCCCTCTCTCCCTCCCTCCTTCCCTCTCTCCCTCCCTCCTTCCCTCTCTCCCTCCCTCCCTCCTTTCCTCTCTCTCTCCCTCCCTCCCTCTTTCTCTCCCTCCCTCACCCCCTCTCTCCCTCTCTTCATCCCTCCCTCCCTCCCTCTCTCCCTCCCTCCTTCCCTCTCTCCTCTCTCCCTCCCCCTCTCCATCCCTCCCTCCTTCCCCCTCTCTATCCCTCCCTCCTTCCCCCTCTCTCTCCCTCCCTCCCTCCTTTCCTTTCTCTCTCCCTCCCTCCCTCTCTCTCCCTCCTTCCCTCCTTTCCTCTCTCTCTCTCCCTCCCTCCTTCCCTCTCTCCCTCTCTCCCTCGCCCCTCTCTCTGTGTCTTTCTCTCCAAACCCTACCCTTTAAACAAAGGAAAGACACCCAGGGCCCAGCTCCATGTTCTGGGTCTATTACAGGGCCCACCTCCACCCCTCTTGTGGCCCTGCTGTCCAAATTCCCACCTAAGTGCTCACTTCCGACCATGCTTGGACACAAACTCAGTTTGTGGACACACCATCACACTTCACCTACAATCTATAAGACTTTCCTGCCCTGGCTCCGGTGCACTACTATAGGCTCAGTCTCTGAGACCAGCAAACCCACCCAGGCGCTGCTTTGCTTTGCTCAATATATCTGTTATGTTTTTTTCAATTCTGCTTGATCTGGCTTACAGGGTCTGGAGAGACACTTATTATGGCAAAGGGCAGAAAACCTATTATAAAGAACAACAGGTAATTAAAAAAAATTTTTTTTGAGAGCTCTTAAAATAGTCTTCCCCAGGGAAGAGCATCCTACCTGGTCACCCAATGCCAAATGGTCAGCTATGAAAACAATGAAAGAAAAAACAGCCATGAATTTGAAAGAGGGTTTGTATCCCAGGCAGCAAATGGATTTGGAGAAAGTAAATGGAAGGTAGAAATAATGTGATTAAACCAAAATCTAAAAAAAAAAAAAAAAAAAAAATTTGGAAAAGTGAAAAAAAGAAAAAAATTGCATGTACACTAATGGTTTCTAAAGGGGAATGAAGAATGGAGAGTTAAGAAGGAACGAAGGAAGGAATGAAGGAAAGAAGGAAGGAAGGAAAGAAGGAAGGAAGGAATGAAGGAAGGAAGGGAAGAAGGAAGGAAGGGAGAGAGACTTTTAAAAACATTGAGAAATATGGCAAAAGTCTGCAGGGGGGGGAGAGAAAGAACTGGAAAAGGAAGAGAAAGAACTGGAAAAGGAAGAGCCCAGGGAGCTGGATGATGGGGGGGGGGAGAGAACTGGAAAAGGAAGAGCCCAGGGAGCTGGATGATGGGGGGGGGGAGAGAACTGGAAAAGGAAGAGCCCAGGGAGCTGGATGATGGGGGGGGAAGAGAACTGGAAAAGGAAGAGCCCAGGGAGCTGGATGATGGGGGGGAAGAGAACTGGAAAAGGAAGAGCCCAGGGAGCTGGATGATGGGGGGGAGGGGAGAGAACTGGAAAAGGAAGAGCCCAGGGAGCTGGATGATGGCAATCTCTCACTATCTCATCTCTCAGGCCCGTCTTTCCCATTTGGAAGGTGTTTGTGTCCCTCAAACATGGAAGGAAGGAGTTTACTGAACACACAGGTCCTGTACTGAGTGCAGACATCTGAATGTCTAAGCTCAGTCAAGAGCTGAGTGGATTGTGTCGGGCAATTCTCTAGAAGCCAGAAGAAGTAGAGAGAGGCATGGCACAGCTCAAGTTGCCCTCCAGCTTAACTTCTTCCTGTGACCTTGCACGGATCCCTTCACTCCTCTGTTTCTCTATCCGTTAGCAAGGA